GATCTGATGCACCAGTGTCAAATATCCATGTGTTTTGTAAAGTTTTATGATTCTGATAAGTAGAAAGAACATGTTTACCTGCATAGCTTGGGAATTGAGGCAGATAGTTAGTCACAGAATGTGACCTATGATTAATTGCAGGACTCTGAGGAGAGGTTGGTGAATTGGAACTTGAAGACTGCAAGAGGGTTCTCAGTTTGTTCATTTCCTCTGCAGTAAAACCTCCAGTAGTGTTTGAAAACCTACTTCCAACCTCAACTTGTGAGTTCCTGTCTCCTTCAACATCTGCATCCTGGGCTACTGCACCAGAAAACCTATTGCCTGATCCCTCTCTCTCCTGTCTCTTTTTCTTAAGTCTCCAGCAGTCTTTGATCACATGATTTGTTTTCTTGCAGTAGTTGCAAAACAACTGGTCAGTCTCACCACTTCCACTTCCTTTGTAGGTACCAGTTTCTCCACCTCCATTTCCCTTGTATGGATTCTTAGTTGTTGAGTTGGAATTTGAAGAACCAGTTCCACTGTAAGAACCAGCTGCTAAAGCAACTGATTGAGTTGTTGCCTTGTTACCAGATCCTTTCCCATCTGCCTTAAGTTTCTGTTCATGTTGTAATAGATCATGAAAAGCTTGTACTACTGTTGGCAGAGGCTTCTGCATCAGCTGCTGTGTCCTGATGTAGTCATACTCAGGATTCAACCCTCATAGGAATCGAATAAGGTAGTCTGTATTCTGCTTCAACTTGAATGCTTCAACAGCAGCACAAGGCACAGGATTTCCAGGTAAACAACCACAAGGCACAATAGGGTTAAACTGAGTATACTCTTCCCAAAGACCTTTCATGTGTGTATAGTACTGTGTAATAGTCTGTGTTCCTTGCTTAGTAGAATGAATTTCATCCTCAAGGTTAGTAAGCTTCTGTGCATCAGCTTGACCATAACGATCTCTAAGTTCATTCCACAAAGCATAAGCATTATCATGACTCAGGACACTTCTTGCTATGTCCTTTTCCAGAGAATTAGTAATCCAACACAGCACAATCGTGTTACAAGCATCCCAGATCTGAAATAAGTTGTCATTTCTATTCGGAGCAACAATCGACCCATCTATAAAACCCAGCTTGTTCTTAGTCTTAAGAACCACCTTCACTGCCTTACACCAGGTCTGATAATTTGGGCCATCTAAAACAATGGGTACGATAGATTGAGCTAAATTCTCATTGGGATTTATGTAGAATGGGTTACCGAAATTCAGATCTGCAGCTCGGTTGTTGTTGTTGTTGCCTTGAGGGTTTCCTGGTTGGTTTTGGAAGGATCCAAAGTTCATTGGAGGAGTGTTTGGTGGAGTATTAGGACCTCCACTCGTCGTGCCGGAGCCTGACATGATCCCTTAGATCTGCTCTGATACCATGAAACTTTCTGAAGAAGGGTTTGAAACCTTCCTGAGGAAGGGTTTGATTAAGCAGAAGAAAGGAGGAAGAAGAAATTGGGAATTCCTCAGCTTGTCTTGTTGCTGGGATTCTTTGATTTATAGTGTTCCAATTTTACTGTAACATAACGGTAACAAAGCCAGGTGTCACTACTCTATTGTCCTGTAAATAACTAACAGCAACAATAAAACCAAACGCTGCGTTCAGCTCAGACGTTTCCAACATGAAACGTTTCTTCTCTAAGAACTTCAACTCCAACGTTCTTCTTCTTCTGCAAACATCAGCTTCTGCTTTCCTTTGGAATTCTGAACTTCTTCTTCTTGTTGATTCAAATCAACAATGCCCTTGATCTTCATCATCAAAGGAGACTGTAGAGTGTGGCGATGGTGATTGGAGGTACCATAGGAGAGGTGGAGAGCGCTTTGGAACTGGGAATGCAGAGGGTGACGATGGTTATTGGCAGCCTGATTTGTTAATTGTGACAAGGAAGTGAAGGAAGGTTCTGTCGGTGGTGTAGTGGCAGGCAGTGGTAGAACCCACTCTTCCTCCCGTTCATAACTGCTGCTGCACAACAATATTTCCAAAGGGAAGAAATTGAAAGAAAGAGACAGCATATGTGTATATATTTGCTCTCATTCAATTTTCTATAAAAAATGTTCTAGAGGAAATGATTCATTCCCATGCATTTTGTATTGGTCATTTTAGGTTACAATTTCTCGTATTGGTTCTGAGGTTTGGTGAAAACAAACCATAGTAAATGTTTAGTCGTGGTTGAAATGAGTTTGGTTGCCGATAGTATAACACAAATATTTCTAAAGCACATTAGCAACCTCTTAATTCATACCACAAACACTATAAAACAAACCACAAAAAACATACCACAAATCTCCTAATAGAAATCATAAATCTCTTAAAAGATACTAGAAATACCACAAAGCAAACCACAAATATTTTAAAGCACACCAAAAACCTCCTGATGCAAACCACAAACACGATAAAGCAACCCACAAAAAGCATGCCAAAAACTTCCTAATGCAAACCACATGTCTCTTGAAACATACCAAACCATAAATCTCACAATGCAAACCATAACATCTGGTGGTCATTGACTGTTGACCAGTCAACGAAGTTCATTGACCAAACTCCGATGACCGTCAGTGAGCAAATTCTGACGCCGATAGGCATATTCCAGCCTCTATGACTAGATTCTGATGTCGTAAGCATATTCCGATCACGGTGAGCATATTGCGGTGACGGTGGGCATATTCTGATGACAAAATAGCATATTCCGGCGACAAAAAGCATATTCTGGTGACCGTCGACCAGATTCCGACGACCGATGGCCGAATTCCGGCGACCAAAATTTTGGGCAGAAACTAAAAAATATTTTTTATTTTGTATTATTATTTAAATATATTTTTCATAATGACAATTATACCCCTGCTTTGATTTTACACTAGGTCAACTTAGCTAATAAAAAGTCATCACAACTCTAACTTCTTATTGGTTGGAGACTAGTGTTGTTACAATAACAACACAAGGGGTGTTGTCACACTATCTAGTCCCAAAGTGTAGGGTGCAGATCCTGTGACTAATGGGTGCTTACTCACTTGATTAAGCTACTCCCAGTTCTTAGATCTGGATATAATAATCTGACGGTTAAAAAGTGGGTAGAGCTATTAATTAATGACATGGATAGTTTGGGTATTATGGAAAATTACGAAGTATACAAACCAGACTTACAATCAGTACAAACCATACAAACAGTACAAACTACACAGACAATATATACAAACAGATTTACAAACGTATGAACTGTACAAACAATACCAACTAGACCGACAAACAATACAAACCATACAAAAAGAAAAAAAAAACAACCGGGTTGACTTTGGAGGCTTCATCCCTATATAGAGGGGCTATGTCCCAAAGTCAATCCGGTTGTTTTCTACACATACAAACATGTTGGACAAAAATGACAAACTAAACCGACAAACCATACAAACTAGAAAAACAAATGTGTTAATTTTGGAGGCTCCATCCCTATATAGAAGAGTTTCATCCCAAAGTCAACTAGGTTGTTTTTTAGACATAAAAAACATTACAAATATGGTTGACAGAAATGATAAACATAGTGCACAAAAATAACAAAGCTTACAAACATTACAAAAGAAACCGACAAACATTACAAAATAACAAAGCATACTAAACGTACAAAATGTCACTAAAAATGACAAACAAGAATGATAAACAATACAAACCGAATCGATACAAACATTACAATCAGACTTACAAACATTACAAAATATGTCAACAAACATCACAAATCCAGCACTGTCGTCGGGAAATCTTTCTCCGGCCATCGTTGCTGGTCGCCGGAAAATCTCGCCCTCTCTCAGCTTGGAAGGAAGGGAAAATTCTCATTCCCTACAATAGACCGCTTGGTCAGGAGTCATGGTTGTCATGTCGGTGCCATGCCACCCGGTTGAACCTATTTCAACCTGCGCCGGTCATGAAACCGGCATGACACCACCGGTATGACCGGTATGATCGACTTACGCATTTTAATGAACTTGATGAATAAAAAAATTAATTTATTATTCATTTTATGAATGTAATAGCTAAAAGTTGATGATATTTGTTGGATTGTAACTAAATTGTCCACAAATATGTTTTATATATGATTAAATACATTAGATATTAATTGTTTTCACATTTTTTTTTAACCGGCATGAACCGGCACAAACTGGTTTTACCACCGGTCGTACCATTCCACTTGCCAAACCGGCACAACGGTATAAACCGGTTTGACAACCTTGACTCAGGAGAGGAAGGAAAATTGCACCTGGCCGGAGGGAACAAGTCGTCGGAGTTGTAGAGTGGACGTTGGAAATCACTCGTCGGCGGAGGAGGGTGTAACGTGAAGAAAGAAAATGAATTTTTAATTATTAATAATTAAAAAATAAAATTATCATGCAATTACTATGTTACCCTTCATTAAATTGAATTAATTGGATCCCTTGGATTTTAATGAACTTCAAGGGCTGAGATTGACTTAGGCAAGTGACTAAAGGATCCCCCTTAGTCACCTGATCTTAGCCCCTAAAGTGTAGCATAAGTGTCAGATTTGGCTCCCATTTTTTAATATTACAGTTGTGTATAACTTTTGAAAATAACAAATAAATTTAGCTATGAGTTTAAGCTAACCATTAAATTAACGATCAAATATTTTCTTCTTCGGTGACTCATCATCTACTGTTGAATTGGCCTCCATGTCATTTTATTAATTAAATATGAAAAAATAAAATTACAAAACTCGCGCCAAACCCTTCTTCCTTCCTATCTTCTCCCCCTCCTTTGAATTACCAATTGGACGGATTGTAATTGTCCCAAAATGGAGCAATTCAAAATTATCATGTCAAATTACTCTATCCAAATTATGCTGCCAAATGAGTTAATTTGTCAAATAAATGGGACAATCTGGCCAAAATTGATCACTTAGATGTTTATCCAAATGACCCTAAAATAATTTTTAATATATGAATTGATGTAAAATTATTTTAAAAATAAAAAAAGTACTTAAAATAAATTTTCTTATACTTTTATTTATAAAAATAGAAAAAGAAAAGGATTAAATTTTATTTTCAAAATAATATTTCTCAGAAGCTCTTTCTTTCAATCTTTATGTTATAGAAGATGCTTCTCTAATTTTCTTATAGAAATTTTTGGTTTGCTTGTAACTTTAAAAAAATCACTTCAATAAAGTGATCAAACTTAGGTCACCCAATTCATGGGGGCGACCATCAATGCTCTCGAATTGGAGCGTGAAAATGTGCTTTTGTCGTAGAGTGCTTATAATTTGCGGAATATTATTTACTGGAGCGTGAATTATATATGGAAGTTCGCAAATCTCCTGAAGAACTGAGTTGAATTAGAGACCCAAGGGAAAAGTCCCCCTTCAGCTAGTCATAGTATCGCCTTCCGGTGCCAAATCAAATCGCCGATGAAGTCCTTTCTTTTTGCTCCTACAAACTATTGTCGATGAACTGGGTTAAATAGAAATCAAAGATAAACACTTGTTGTTACGGGCGGATACATGGAGTTTTACGGGTGTCTCGGGACACTCCTAAAATTTGGAGAAACAATTATCCAACCCCTGATTGAAGTTTCCTATGGATAAAAAAATTGGTAGTTCGTGACACTCTTAAAATTTAAAAACACAATTATCCTACTCTCGACAATAGTTTTCTAATGATTAGACAAAAATATAAATGGTAGTCTGTGTGATGTGAGGCTCAAGAGCCCCAAAACCATTCCCAATGAAGCTTGGAGATGGAGGCGCGTCGCAGGAGCAAGAAGTGTTGACAAAGGCCAATTATGCGGCCACGGGAGTCGAATCCCCAACCGGGGATCACCAGCTGCACGATCGGGAAATGGGATCAGAGAGACCCCCCGTCATGAGTAGAAGAATCCCCTCAATTGGGGATTGGAGATGGGCGACCGAGGATCTGGTGCTGACGAGCTAAAATTGCCTGTGTTTAAGACTCTTTTCCTTTTCGTTTTTTGCTTAGTTTTTGTTTCATTGGCCTATATAAAGGCTTAAACTCGAGTTTTGTGACATAATTTGATAAAATAAACCCCTTTTTTGTTCATTGAGCTTCTTGCTTGTGAATTTGCTCTTGTTGTTGGTGGATTCCAATTACTTGAGTGTGCTTTGTATCAATTGAGTTGTGCCCTTGATTGTGGTGGAGCTTCTACCCTTATATTGATAAAGCCTTCTCCCAGGTGTGAGATTGCACTTCAATCCGCCTTATCCAACCCCTAATCTGTTTTGATTTGAGATCGAAACTGCGCGACTTTGATAGCTACAAGTTGATCCTTTTGCTCGTATCACTGTGTAATTCAAACATAGGACACATTATTATTGGACTATTCTCCATTAGGTTCCGACTCTTTTCTTTTTCTATTTTAAATACTATATAATCGTAAAAACGATATTCCTTATCCTTAACTATTTCAAGACCAAACAATTACACAAAGTGGCTGGGTAACAAGTGTTGAAAGAGTCTTTTTCAGTTTTGAGTTACATAAAAAAACAAAGTAAGAAATCGAATATGCCATTAGTTCGTAAATTATTGTCTAGTAGGATATATTTATTTGTTAAGTAGTGTAGACATTAAATATTAATCAGAGAAAGAACAGAAACATGATTTTCCTATTCACTTTTCTATAATGGGAAACATGATATTTAGTTCTTTATTTTTCGTGCATTTTCTTCTCCCACATACAAATAAATCTATATACATTATTAAATAAATAAATCGTATACATAAAGTCATAAAATATTTTACGGAATTTACAAATTCCTTCACGGTAAATCTAAAGGAGGAAGCCCGATACCGCCATTGTTGCCTCCCCCTCCGCCACCTCCTCCGCCTCCTCCTCCTCCTCCGCCGCCGCCTCCACCACCACCGCCTCCACCACCACCGCCTCCACCACCTCCTCCACCTCCGCCACCTCCTCCTCCTCCTCCCCCTCCTCCTCCTCCGCCTCCCCCGCTGCTGCCGTCGACAGTGCTGTCACCGATATCATCAGATTCACCGCCCGAATCATCCTCTGCTTGCAAAATTGCCCCATTGACGATCATGTACAAATGCCTCCATTTTCGCAGCTCGGGGGCCACCTTCTGGAAATCCGCATTCCGCTTCATCAAACTCTTGCAATTCTGGTAATTGTCCAACGCTGAGTGGATGTCCAGGCTCATGGTCATGTCCCCAAGCCCTCGAGGGTTGAAGAAGATCTTTGCATCCTTGAAATCGAAGGCACACATCTTGAGCGCATCCTGAATCTTCTGGCTCGTGCCGTGTTTCCTCTCCATTTCATTGAACATATTGGTCAGCATCACCGACTGCTTTTTCGCATGGTCCATGGCGATCGTGGCAAGGGACTTGACGTCCCCTGCCCCTGCCATTTTCGGGTCGGATTCAAGGGTTTTGATGCATGAGGCATAGTTGGAGCTCTTCCGACAGACGGATTCGGCAAGCTTCGAGCCGGAGAGGGAGTGGGATTCAACACTCAGGATGGGAGAAAACAGAGCAAGGAGAAGCAGAATTGGGATTGGAAGATGGAAGTGTTTGTTAATATAAGCCATTATTTTTTTCATTTTTTATTTTTTATTTTTAGGTTTATTTTTGGGGATCGGTGAATTTGGCGGAGGATTGTTCTGACTTGAGGAGGGATTGAAGGATTTATAGAAATGGTAACAAGAGCTAATTTTAGACGGGTCCTTTTAAAATTTTGTTGGGATAGAATGTATTGACCTCAGAAAAAAGGAGAGGTGGTTGTGACTCAAAAACTCTTAATCGTTAATTAGAAGAAACAAAATCATATTTAACTTGCATCATCAAAATTCACAGTAGGAACTCAATCTAGTCAATCTTTTTGGCATGAAAATATAGCCAAAATTGAAAACCCAAATCAAGTCCAAACCGTCTTTTGTTTCAGAAAAATATTACATTGACTGGGTTGACAATCAAGGCATGTGGGCAAATATATAAACGGATGTTATTTTATGTGGAAAATTATAAAATACAAAACCATTTTTGTAAAGCTCATAAGTCTGGTATATTAGATTATCTCCAAAGGAGGAGTCAAAGTGCCAAAATTAAAATGTCTTCAATAGCAAGGGCTAAAGTACCAAAATGTCAAAATTTTAAACTTCGAGTGCCAAATTTGGCGAAAAAAAAAAAAAGAATACAAGAGTGCTAACATTTTTGGGCCCATCACAAAATTGATATTGTTGGAAAATAACCAGCAGGGGAAATAACCGCAATCAACATAAGCACATTCGAATTTCTACGTACATCCAACCTGGTTACGATTGATTCCATGGAGGTAGCACGAAGAAATGGTTTTCTCGAGTTTGATTTGTTATGGGTTGGATTTTTAGGTGCTAATTTCTCAACTTTGAATTTGCAGAGCATTGAAGAAGACTTACATGTATGTATTTTTTTCCACAATGCATAAGTTAGTAAAAAAATCTCACAATATACACTTGGCAAAATATTTTCCAAAATACAGTACTTCGGTGTGGTTTGCGGTACACTAACAATCAGTGTAGTTGGCTGACAGTGAAAAAATAGAACAAAACAAAGAAAAAACATAATTAGAGAGAAGGGGTTACAAGGACCATTAATCCTTCACCTTCCTTATCGTTTCACTCCATCATCTTCTCCCCCTACTCGTTCTCGAGTGACTGGAGTTAAGCGCGCGTCTGGCGATTCTTCTGCTAGCACCACTATCCTTTACTATTGCCGCCACCAATGGCGTAGCCGGAAATTCATCTAAGATATGTCCAACGTGAAAATATATAACATAAGTTTCAAGATTTGTTTTCATATTCTGAAGAATTTCTAAACATTCATCATGCAAATTATGAGGGATGTTAATATACCACACCGAAAAATCATTCATGGTTTCATCACTTATATGATTATGAAGTGTTTTTTAACTTCGTTCATTGTAGTAAGTGTTCTTCCAATGCTTGCATGGACAATTGATAGCAATAAACATCCATAGGTTTCGAGTTTTTCTATATTAAACTCACTTACAAAATATATGAATTACTGACGCATTCCTAACTACACAAATAAAATCCCGACTAGAGCCCAAGTATAAACTCTAGTAGGGCGCAGTATAGTGAAAAAAATTTAAAATGTCAACCCGGGCAAGTTCATTTACACCTACTTTAACCATTTAAAACGTTATCTAGCTATTGGTTTTGAGTGAAAACTAAGAATTAAATTTAAAGCAAACAATAAATTGAATTGTTGTGGATTCTATATGAGAAAACTTCGTCAGGGTATTGCTCCTCCTAGCCTTGTATCAAGTTGCAATAATTGGATATCTAGTGTGAAACAATGTGTTCTTATACCGCGAGGATGCCACAACTAGTGGAAAATTCCCACTCTCTTAGGCAACCAATTAAGGAAAAGCAATTAAACTAGAAAACCTAGGTCTCTCAATCAATTGGCTAAGGATTGCTAACCAATCCCTCAGAGGTTAATCCAGAACGGCGACAAAGCAATAAAACACAATCAAATCGTGATGCTATATCGATGCTTGAGGTGTGTCCCTAATCACCCTAGAAGTGGTTATCCAATTTGCCAAGAAGTGGTCTGATGACACCGTATTTACACATGATTTTCCCAACATTTCTCGACCGTTTGGCTTAGCTCTTGATTTCACTTTGGCCCATTTTAGGGTGGGTAGTGCTCGTCGATTTCAGGTCCTAGCACGTAAATGGAGGCTGAGGACCAAGTCTAGGTGCAACTGGAGACCCAAAGCTTTCAAATGATGCTCGTTTTGAAGCTCATGCATCCGGCCACTAACGACCAACAAACCTTTTGAGGGAACGCAACCTCTGTTTACACAAGTTCCTCTGACGACATCCCCTTCAACAATAGCAATATTGAAAACCTGGCCCAAAAAATAGTCAGACTAGAATGCTTTCAACCGCTAATCACCAAATTCATATAGACCACTTCAACCACTTCACGAGAACTTCAAGTCTAAACCAATCAACTCTACTTCAAACCCTTCGAAGTTCTCAATTTGCTCAAACTAGCAGCAATGTCGATAAAATCAGACCAAGCAAACCCACCACCGTACCTTCTCAACAACTTACTGCTGCTAGTTGGATTATACTTCAGCCCTGGAAACAAAACATTGTCAGGAAAATTAAAGGGCTTGGAAGTGTGATTGTTTGCTTGCAGCTCACAGTGGCGAAGCTTCTATTTAGACTACTGAGTACTGACCTGGGCTCTTAGAGAAATTCAACTCCACAGCCTTACAGGGCAAGACTCGAGCTGAAACCAAGCAAACCTTCTGCTGGGATTGAAGCAATCACAAGAATTAATCAATCGCAAAGAGGTAGAAACCAGAAACTAGGAAGGATTATGTAGGCGGAAGAGAAGCCGACATGGAACACATAGAATAATAAAGACAATGTAGAGATGGTGTTTGTAGAAAGAGAGCTTCAACATATTACTCATCATTTGCCTATTGACATCCTCCTCGGTATTGGACCAGCCAATCCCGGTTTCGCTTCATCCTGTAATGAGAAATCAAAGTCTATCAACTAATCAAAAAATGGCGGAATCAGTTCCGTGAGAACCACAATGCCGCAAATTACTGCTGATTCGGATTGGAATGGCCGAATTGGAAATGTTGTCGAAGCCGGGCAACAACAGAACCTGGTGAGGTGTTCGGGAGTAGCAAATGAAGACGACCAACATGCATAAATTTCAGTTGTCCCAGTCATAGATCTCGTTTGTAGCCGCAGGGTTCCGGATACGCGTCGCGACAGTCCAGGCCCGAAGGAGACCGACTAGGCATCGAGGATGTTGTGCGCCACAAGCATCACAAGCAACGCGATGGCCACACCGCCGCAAAGAAATGAGGCTACCTGAATGAGGAGGACGGGGAACCCAATGGCAGTGGGGTGAAAATTTTATTCTCCACCGCGTTGAGAAGGAAGAGTCGGCGCAACGCGGTAAGCTGTTTGAAAGAGCGGGGGATGACGAGGACTCGATAGGGGGCGAAGCTCGATGGCCGAGCTCCGGCGAACTATGGTGGGGTGGATCTAGGGTTTTGTGCCAGAGACTTGTGAGATGAAGAGCGGGAGAGGGACGAGATCGACGAGGAGAGAGGGAGAGAGAGGAATTTTTTATTTTTTCTTTTCAATTAATTTTTATATTTTTTATTTTTGGGTGGAAATTATTAAATGACTATGTATAATTTTTTCTATTTTTTAATTGACAACTCATCAATTTGACGATCAAACGTTAGAATTGACTGCCACATGAGACAGATTTAATGCAACCAGACGACGAGTGACCAAGAATGATATAAATAGGTAGTATCCATTGCTAAATTGAAAGGAAAGTGATTTGGGTGGCTAACGCGTTACAAATACGTAATATGAGTGATCAAACTTGCAATTCACCTTGAAAAGTTAGTTGGGGGAGAGGGAATTTCAAATTTTGGGTGGGCTAAAAATTGGGGTCTAAAAATTGGGAGAGATTGAAAAGTGGACAGTTAAAAATTGGCAGGGGATGAAATTTGGGTGGGAAAAACGTGCCTTTTGTCAAACAAATATGGGATGAAATTTGGGCTAAAAATTGTCGGTCAGGCCTATTGGTTTCAGTCTAACTCAAACAAATCTGACGAAAATGTCTTTTTGTATAAAACGAAACCACTATTTTCTGACGAACGTGCCTTTTGTCAAAACAGAAACCACTAAATTATGACAAACATGCCGTTTTGTCAGCTCGCCGTGAGATTATTGCTATCTATTGTGACAAAATACTTTATCATTTAAACAATTCAGGAATGCATAATATGACAAAAGTTACTCTGACGATATAATTTGTCACTTTTGTGTCTCTTACATCCCGATATGGTATGCCTATTTTGACAAACTTAATTGTGACATGGAATATTGGTCACATTACTCACTTTAAATGATGAACTATTCTGATAAAAAGAAATTTGTCACTATTAAGTCTCTTACATCCCGATATAGGACGCCTATTTTGACAAAATTAATTGTGACACGAAATATTTGTCACATTACTCACTTTAAATGACAACATATTCTAACAACAATTCGTTTGTCACATTAGGCATACCAAATAGAATATATATTATTTTTGTCATAACACCGTACCTAATGTGACAAACAGAAAATGACAAAATAAAATTTTTGTCCTAATAGGCCGAATTTGTTGTAGTGTGGAACCGAAGGCCATAGCAGCCAAAATCCACGGTCTGGTGCCGCAAAACCACGACCGTGGATTCCATGAATGGACCGTTTGCTCAGGGGAAATCCACGGTATGGTGATGTAATTCCATGATCGGGGATTTAAAGGAGCCAACCGTGGGTTTTGGGCATTGCCACTAATCGCTGCGCTGCGTTTTGGGAAATCCACGGTCGGAACTCCAATTCCACGACCTTGGATTCTGACCATGGATTTTGGCATCAGATTTCTATGGTGTAGCTAGTGGAAGGGTGTTGGGAATCCGATTTTCCAAGATAAAAGGGCTAGAGAGAACCCTAGAGAGAGAAAGTGACGAAGAACACCCTTGGGCACGGATTGGAGCGACTTGTAGATTTTCATTATCCCCATGATGATTTCTCTCCCAAGCTTGGCGTTTTCCCT